CCCCCCCCCCTCTTCCGCCGGGGGGCCGGTTCGCACCGCCACGTGGCGGACCGGCTGGCCTTCTTTTAATGTCAGAAATCGTGAGAGCCATGTGATCGGGTAGGCCGGGAATTAGGCGGAGCTCGTCGGGTCGGATGTCTCCGGCTCGAACCTTCCACGAGCCCCACTCCATGGCGGCGGCGTACGCGCCGAATGTGAAGAATCCGATCACTGGGACGTGGAATTAGGCTTGATTTGTTGTAAAAGCCTATATGAGATTTGATTTCCATTTCACTTGAACTTTGTATGAGATTTCCATTTCTAGGTTGGTCTTTAATCAAGGCTCTTGAATCTTGATTGTTTATTTTGTTGAATTACACTTGATTTATGAAATTTTGCAGATTTTTTATGATATCAACATTGATACCGAATCATACCAGTCCCGTTTGGGTCTGATATGGTTTGAACGTGTTTTCAAAAACTCTCATCCCGTGTCATCCCATCCCGATTCCCCTATTCGGGATTAACACCGGAATGACCTTCATCCCGTGTCATCTTGTACCGTGCCCAGCCCTACATCTATCAATGCAGCATACACAACTAACATGATACATCGTTACAGATTCTTTAGCCCTGAAGGAAGTGCAACCGGCCCCCTACCACCCGATTGACGATTGCTCAATGTTGATATAGTTTACGGTAGAAGTGGCAGTTCATGTTAATAAGTTGTGTTCATATCATTTCATGTTCCTATTTAATGCTAGTCAACCCTAACCAAATCCATTTATCATCATCTTCATATTTGCCGGCGTATTTATATTTGTGTGAAGCATACCCGGAAGTTCACCATAAACCTGCTTCGCAGACTCAGATTCACAACTGAAACCTCCGTTGAACCTTGCAATCTTAGGAGGCAGAAAACTCTAGTAAATAGCTACATAGGCATCCTGAGGAATCAAACCCAATACCATGTAGGAGAAAACCACAGGCCTGACCAGCTCAACTATAGTCTTGTTGGTCAAAGCAAACCCGCTAATTTCATGTGTGTTCGAGTCTCGTTGTAGTGTATACATAAAAGTATACATACTAATCACTGAGATACACTTACACATTAAGAAGGAAAAACTGTATACCAATATCTCTAAATTTGAGAGAAACAGCTCAATGGAGAAGTTCCAACTTCTTACAAATAAGAGTATACCAATTATAAAGTTCCTAGATCACTGATCTCTTTATGGAGTTAAGCACTCACATAGTCTTAAATTGATACAAATAGTAAACCATCATCTTTGGACTCTTAAACTGACAGGAAGCTTCTTCTTGTCTCAAATGTGCACGAGCTAGCTAAAGGTGAAGAAGGTAAACAGCTAACCCACAAGTTTCAAAACGATAAATTACAAAAGCCGAATTAGCCATCAAGACTACGTTTCTTACAATTCAACAAAATCACTTTTCTTCAACTTTACAGAAAATTCATGTTTCTTAACTTTACAGAATGGTTTTCAGCATAGGTTCTGCTCTGTAATATGCCCGCTTGGGGGTTGCGGGGGCGGGGGGAATGCAAGCATAGAGACTATGGGGATTAAAATAATATGGCCATTAAGTATTGCCATCCATAATAAACTCCTGCTCAACTTGAAATGCAAGAGAAGCCGCTGTCAAGTGTGAAACAAGGGAAGAAAGCTAAGTTAGCTACTAGTGATTTAGCTTATCAATGTCAGTTCTGCAAATATATTTGAAGTTTGTGACGGGGAACTAAAAGTAATTTACGAAATCTGAAGATAAAAAGCACAATAAGATCAACAAATGTGTTTGTACCATATCTGACCCTCCACTCATACAACGACACGTGGATCACTTCAGCTCACCCAAGTACCCAAGGCCTCGAACAATCGGCATCGGCTACCGATGGCATTGTCTCAAAGCCACATACAGCCGCTACAGGCCCAACACAGCCTACAATCAGTATCCCATACCGATTCTACAGAATTAGCCTCGAAGCACCTGCCAGAAATATCTAAATACTCGTGTCAACCTCATAGGGCCCTCCCACGAGTCCCACATCGGAAATGAGTACTAAGATCATACAAGATGCCTCCTATAAATAAGCCCCTTCACTACAATACAGGGGTAAGACTTTTCAGCTTGACTTTTATACTTCTATATGGTCAACAGCAAGAGCTCTTAAAAACAATCTTACTTGAGCATCGGAGGGTCTTAGGCTGGTTCCACACCGGTTCCATAGACCTCACGAGCTTCGCTTATCTTCTATTCAGGATCAGCATCTGAAGACAGGAGGAATCTCCATTTACAACTCAATCGATCTCCTAGATCGTCCACATCTCTTGTAAGTTGCACTCATCTCTATCTGTTCAGATTTACGCCGTCTGTGGGAAACGACACAAAACGCTATGTCGTTCTCCTTCACGAGTGCTCTCGGCACCCTTTTGAGCCATGCCCTCGGC